AGTATCTGAATGATAAACAGAACCAATCCATGAGAATTTTCATTTAGACACTCAAGAATATTTTTAAATTGTATATTCAATACTTCTCTGAGCTGAAATTTATTTTGAGAATTTCTTTAAAGAAATATTTTTACAAAGGCCACAGAACACTATATTAGAAAGTATTATTTATTGAATGTAATTCGTGACATAATCAATTTTTTATTTCTCTTTGACATGGACTTGGGTTTTTTTGATACATTGCCATTTAAGTATTTTTGACATGCAAGGATATTATCACGCTTTTTCCAGAATTTATTACTAAGGTAACAAGTTTAGCGTCTTAAGAACTCTTAGCAGCTAGTCCAAGCTTTTCCACTGAAATGTAGTCCTGGAAAACATATTGGAAAACGGTACAAGAGCAAACCATCCATTTTACCCAATGACCTATTTTGATGAGCAATGAAGCTTCTCCATGAAGTTAATCATTCGCGCCACTAGATGGCACTTGTCTACACCCCGAGCATGGCTGCTGCTTCCCGCTGAGTCAATGTCCATCGCTGCACTGAGTCCTGAGGGGACAAGCAGGAGACGGAGGGGAAGGACTGGGCAGACGTGTACCTGCTGAAGTCTTTGCAGTAGTTTATATGGCTTGTATTGCATTGCAAGGGGAACAAATACATTTTTAAGTGACTGTCAAATTAGCAGAAGAGGGGGAAATGCCCGCATGTGGGCTGCAATATTGAAACAACAAATTTGTATTCTTTCTACATAAGAGCAAATTGTGTGATAGTTTTGATGATGAAAGAAGTTCTGCGTAGGGCTTTTTACGAGGGTAGTAATGACCACCGAAATAATTTTAGTAATCTTTTAAAAACCCAACAACTCCCCCAGCATTGTTGGGGAGGTTTGCAAGTCATGTTGTACTAAAATAAGCCTCTAAAGCCAGTTCAGATGGCGAACTTGAGTTTCTGTTCAATTTGTAACAGCCATTAACGAGCTCTGTTAAAAATAAAAGATTCTACCACATGTTAGCTGGGCTGTATTTTTAATGGTTTGTCAGGTTTCTGCTGGATCATGTCAACCTCGGGAATTTAACTATGACTTGGGAATGGACATCCTCAGTGCTTATGTTGTTGTGTACAGGTGCGTCGAAACCAAGGCCTAGGTGACCCTGCAGGGGGTTTCCCCAGTTGGTTTTAATGACAGGAGAGAAAGTTGTCCATTTTTCTCCCGATGAGCGACTGGTGGGTTTGAACCTCAGGCCTTTGGTCTGACTGCGAAGCTCCACCAGTAAGCCACCAGAGGTCCCTATCAGTGCTTTGAGAACCCTTCTGACTTGAATCGTCACGCCCTCTGTGCAGCAGCGCCCAGGGCAGTGTGCACAGTGGCACTGTGAGAAGTGCCAGAACCTGGTGGTGAAAGGGTCAAGGCCTCGCACAGACGGGGCGGGGCGGATCAGGAGGGTGGGCGGAGCCTCGAAGGCTCAGGTCTAAAATCCCCACCTGACTTGAGCCAGATACAGGTCTTGGAAATCTACCTAAGGATATTAAGGTATGCCTTTGAAACCACCTTTCTGCATCCTTAGTCATCTTCTAATCATTTCGTGAACTCCTTTTCCTTTTGCGTAAGAATAGACCTCATTCTGCCTTGTGTTGATTTGGTGGCTTTGTGTGTATATGGGCTTTTTACTGCCTTCTCCCACACCCAGTAATGTTCCTAACTGCTTCCTCATGTTTCAGCCTGATTGACATTTTGCTTGATTGCTTCCAATTGCCTGAAGAACTTTTAGTCTGCCAAGTGATTACTTGGTGTATTTGTTTTGCTGGATGTATAATTTGTTTTTTACACATGACTACTTTTCACTTTAAGACAAGCAGTTGTTCTTATCTAGCTGTTTGGGACTCAAATCTATTCATGTATAAATCTCTTCAACTGAACCAAATCAATGAAAACATTTAATTTGTGCTCCCCTGAAAAAGGTCTTTTCCATCCACACTTTCCCCTTCAATACTAAAAAGTATATGCACCTATGAATTGTGACTATTATTTTGTTGTAGATACTGTGTCAGTTTGGTACACAATGTGTGTGTGTGTGTGTGTGTGTGTGTAACACAGTGGTTGCAGCTGTGAATAAGGAAATGGAATACTTTTTGACTGCAAATTAATTGAGTTCTGGTGCTGAATAAGAGTCTTGAACATAGCATGGACCACCAAGAAAACAAATAGGTCTGTCTTGGAGAGGGTGAAACCAAGTTTCTCTTTGGAGGCTAGGATTTTGAAGCTCTGTCTCACGTATTTTGGGCACATAGCAAGGAGATACCGATTCTTGGAGAGGGACATCATCCTCGGTAGGATAGAGGGACAGCGCAGGAGAGGAAGACCCCGGGTGAGATGGATTGATACAGGGATTAGGGCAATGGGAGTAGATGTGTCGGAGTCAGACTGGCTCATGACAGGGCAGGCTTCAGAGCTGTTTGTACATAGGGTCGCTATGAGTCACAGATAACTCAGCGGCACATAACAACAACATTGTATGGCAAACTCAGTATAAAAAGAAAATGTTTTTACATGTTAGATGGTACCTTTGCAGTTAGAGCCACATGTTATGAGAAAATCAAAAGCCAACTGGTGGTGGGGGCAGGGAGGATAATATGCAACAATGAATGAATGGAAATCCAAGTTCTTTATAAACTTACAATAAAATTTCAATTTAAAAAATCATGGGAGAATCAACCTTGTAAATTAGTGGTACATTTGTTTCACCCTACAAATTCATCCATTCAGACAAACAACACTGTGACAGATGACAGACCTTTACGGATACAAAACATGGAAAACGTAGTCTTTATCTTCTGATAGATTATGGTCTTAGGCTGTTTGTTGTTGTGTACCATCGAATCAGAACCAACGCACAGCTGACCCTGTGGCAGGTTTTCGGAGGCAGCCAGTGCATGATAGGAGATTGCCCATCTTCCTCCGCTGGAGCAGCAGGTGGATTCAAACCACCCACCTTTGGGTTGACAGGTCACTCCTCACCACTGAGCCACAAGAGCTCCCTTAAAGTCTTCAAAATGGACACAAATTCAAAGTCATGCAGGATAGTCAGACCAGGTGTTACTAACAAGTACCCATTCAATTATTTGCTGGAAGATTTCCAGAAGTATAAAGACAGGGAGGTCTAGTGGTCTAGTTCATAAGGAGTTATGCTGTAGACTCAATGGCCCTGCCTCTCCGCACCTCAAATGCATAGAAAGAAAATGGGCAATGTCCTGTCATGCAATTCATAGCCTTGGAAACCCAAAGGAGGATCAGCTGTGAGTTGCTTTCTCCACCACAGGCAATGAATATGCCTTTTTAAAGACAAGCTAGACACTAAAATAGGTTAAAACATCTTGAGGATATAGAATTTTGAGACATCATAAAAGACATGTAGGATTTGGACTAAAGACCAGAAGAGCTGTTAAGCTTGTAACTGGGAATTATCTAAAGGCTAATTCTGGCATGAGATAAATGTGTGGTACAAGCCAGGACCTTCTTGCTGTCCCATATACTTACTAAATATATAATAACGCTAGCCAATTAATGCTAACTCTTGAATACCAACTTCAAGGATTTTTACTATAGGCAATAAGGAGTCCTTCACGATTTTTGAATGAGGGAACAATATGAGGAAAGGTGTATTGTGGGAAAGCCAGCCTTTGGAATCCTCTCGGAAGGTGTAAGATTAACAGAAGTCAAGACGCAGAAGAAGCGAGACAAGGCCCGCCATCCTAGCATTTCAGACTTGTGATGAGACCTGGGAAGGTTGCCGCTAAGTACAGAAAAGAAGGGCTGATTGGTTGTGAATAAACATCCACACTGACTAATCTGATTATTTTTGCATGTACTGCTTCTTAAATGGAGCTTAGTGTCATTAAATTACCAAAAGTATCCATTTAATTTTCCTTTCAAAGAATCTCGAGTAAATACTCTGATTTTAATTTGTAGGTACTTGTTTTAAAATTTTCAGTGGCTGCTTAAGAAATGTCGGTTTAAGAAATGTGGGTGCAAATATTCCTTCGTGTTCCTATACCTTTGCATCTCTGTGGTTCTGAGGTAGACGCTGCACTGCAATCTCGAAGACACATGGTTAGAATCTACCAGCTGCTCTGTGGAAGAATGGGCAATCTCTTCCCTTGTGATTAACTGACTCTGAAAACCCATCGGAGGTCAGTTCTGACTTGATGCACATAACAGCAAAAACAAGATCTAAACTAAGGAGTTTTCATGTCCTAGTGGTGAGGGGTTGCTGCGCTGCCAATCCAAAGGCATGCAGTTCAAATCCATTAGCTGCTTCACAGGAGAAAGGCAGTCTCCTGTGGGATTTACAGCCTCTGTAAACCCACTGAAAAGTCAGTTCTGACTCAACAGCACATACTAACAACAGATCTAAACTACTTCAAGGTGACTTGAAAGTTCACCAAAGTCACAAAGACAAAGCTTGTGGACCTTCTAGTCATTAAAAAAGAAAAAGAAAAATCAATCTGTCTTGAAAGGCCAACTTTATGCTCATATAATAATGGAAAATTCACAGCTTAGTGTAATGATAATGTTATCATTCGTGTAATAAAGCACACAGCTGATTAAGTTGTTGTAGATAAACGTACTAGACTTTGCTCCGTTTCAGTGAACAGCAGGAAGCAGAGAATTCTTTCACGTTGGTAAGGCTTCATTCCAAAGCAGACCGACTGCTCCGTGAACAGGAACAGAAAAGACGACACAGACACAGAGTGAGGTGAGGCCTGAGTAAATATTTTCTGGGTATTCGTGGGAGTCCTTCCTTTAAAATGGGACATAAATATAATGTTATCTGTAGCTATACCATCTTAGTGGACTGTATGTTATTGCAAAAAGCCAAAGATGATCTTAAATTTTCAGTTGAGACTAGAAAATGTTCCTAAACCGTAAACTGAGTAAGTGCCTATTTGTTTTGTAAGTTGTTTTCACTAAGTTACTGTATTTTCTTTGTTCTAGACATTATGCACTGTCTCTGTCTCTGCATCATTGCCACTGTCATAGGTCTTTCTTTAACTGGAACAATGACGGATACATCAAGAACAAGCAATATTGTATTCAGTTCTGAGTGTCAGGGGGAGGTATATCTTCTGACAAACTGTTCTGTGACTAGAAACTCTGCCATTCAAGTGAATATATCACAGACACTAGTCACAGCGGATACTAGTTTCAATTTCTTCAGACTTTTCTTGTGGTCTAACATGGAAGAAGAGTGGAACATTAAGCATTTGGACCTGAGTAACAATGTCATACCGAAGATAACCTTCAGTGTGCTTGTGTGCTTACGTGGTTTGGAAATATTAAACCTCAGCAATAATGCCATCCACTCCATTTCACTGGAAGAACAGAGTCACAGGTGCTCGTGGGCGAAGCACCCCTGGAGCAGGCATTACCTGCCATCCCTAAAGGTGCTGCTTCTTCAGAGAAACAAACTCAGTGACACGCCCAAGGGTGAGTAACAATTTTTAAAAGCCAACTAGAGCAACAATACAGAGTTCATGTTTATGTCAAAATAAATCCCATGTTAGTTTTCAGTCTCTAGGAAACAGCTTACAGTAAAGTAATTTGAAGAGAGCAAATATAATAAAGGGAATTTCTTTGTGGAATTTGAAATATGAAGTTATAACACATATTATTTATAAAATGAAAACTCACTGCTGTCAAGTTGCTTCTGACTCACAGTGACTCTCTGTTGGTTTTCCAAGACTGTAAAATCCCAATGGGAGGAGACTACCCATCTTTCTCCAACTCAGCCCGCTAGTGGATTCGAACCACGGGAGATGGGTAGCCCTTGGATTTGCAGGGCAGCTAGCTACAGAATATGTCACTATAGCTTCGTGCCATTTACAGTTCTCCTATTTGGATCATTTGCATTCATGCTATGTGAATTTGTCAAAACACACTAAGACCCAGTTTAGTTTTAAGTAACAATGCATTATTGGAAATTATCTCCTTTGATTATCATGTATTTGTTAATAAATATAAGGATGCACCAAAAATAAATCGTTGAGATAACATATTTATAGCTTTTGTCTTAAAATGTTGCCTCTACTTACTCTCTAGAGGCACAGCAGATGGAAGGCATTATAATATTTGCTGTGTAAATGTTCTCATCTCCAAAACTTCTATGGCCTTTTCTGTCTTACATACTTGATATGAGACATTCTGCTGGGAAAAAAAGGTATAAGGATATCATTTGCATGCCAAAGTATACATATTTAGCTTTTTCAAGTTTTAGCATTCATATTTTTGTTGGCTGATCTCCATCAGCATTTGACTTTGTTTTTAGCAACATTTAGGCAATAATAGCAGCCTGGCAGGTAAAAAAAAATGTGTGGAAAGGACAAGGATCTCTGTTCCTGTTCTTTTTCATAAATGCAGTGACATTCTGTTTACTATTGTCAGGGCTGAGTGCAAATGACTCAGATCTTACTTTTCTGTTCTTTTTATACCTGCTAATTGTAGAACATTTAGGGGTTTTATTTTAAAGTAAGAAGGAAAATTAAAGGTAGCTATGCAATACATATTTTTCCAAAATACTCTTTGTCATTATAGGTAGATATCATAGAGTCAACACCCAAACTTATTCTTTATATCTATATATCATTTTGCCCTTCAAAACTGAAACATATTCTTTGTTTTATATTTTTCCTCAATTTTATTTTTATTTTATATTGATTTGCATACAAAACTCATATACCTTGTATATCATTCATGTACATTGTGTTCCACACATTCCTATATTCACATTGTGTTACAAATGATCATTCATCTACATTGTATTACACAAAATTATCACCATTGATTCTATGCATACTAGTACCTCATTTTTTTAGGTCCATATTGAATCTTTCCTAATTCCTTCTGTCTCTTCCTCCCCCCCACAAAACACTGTTATCTTAGTGACTTCTTCCCCTCCTCATCTTCTGCTTCCCTCGCACATAACCTTCCCCTTTTGGACTTTTATCCACATCCTGCTAGTTATTCTTCTGTTTTTACAATAATGGTCTTATGCAGTGTTTGTCCTTATGAGACTAAAGTTAGCTCAGTCAGCATAATGCTCTCTAGATTCTCTCATGTTATATAGTATTTTACAAAATTGTTATTCCTTAGTGTTGCATAATATTCCGTTGTGTGAATGTATGGTAATTTCTCAACCCGTTTGTTTGTTGATAGACATTTGAGCTGCTTCCATTTTCTTGCTATTGTGAATGTTGCTAGGAACATCAGTGTACAAGTCTGCATTTGTGTCTCGGTTCTATTTTCCTTGGGAAAATAAAATTGCACTGTTAGCAATTCTTAGCAGTGCAAAATCTGGGTCACATGGGACTTCTGTGTTCAGGCTTTTGAGGAAACGCCAAACTGTCTTCCAGAGTGGTTGTATGATTTTACAATCTCACCAACAGTGCATGAGAGTACCAATCTCTTCACATCCTCTCCAAGATTTATTGCTTGCCTCCTGTTAAACTTTTCTACTGCTACTGGAGTGAGGTAATATCTCATTGTGGTTTTGATTTTCATCTCTCTTATTGCTAGTGATTTTGAGCATTTCTTCATGCATCTGTTGGCCATTCAAATGTCTTCCTTTGTGAAAAGTCTTTTCATGTCTTTTGCCATTTTCTGATTATCAGTCTTTTCCTTGTAGAGGCCCTGTTGTTCTTTGCTGTCAAGTTGCTTGTGACTCATTGCAACTTTATATACTCTATATCTGATCCCTGTCCTATCCTGAGCCAATTTCACCATCTCTGATGCACCAACTACCTCCATTACCCCAGTTATAGGGTCAATCCATCTTATCCAGATCTTTTCCTGTGCCATTCCTCCACCCTTGCAAGCATGGGCTTGCTTTTCAAGGGCTGGCTTTTCCTGACAACATGCTCAAAGTATGTGAGATGGAGCTTCAAAATCCTTGCCTCACAGAAGCAGCTTTCTGTCACCTTCTCCAGGACAGACTTGTTTTTTCTCTTGGCAGTCCATGGTATGTTCAGTACTCTTCTCCAGCACTACGGCTCAAAGGCATCGTTTCCTCTTCTATCACCTTAGTCATTGTCCAGCTCCCTAATGCATAACCAGTAATTACAAAGACCATAGCTTTGTTTAGGAGCACACATTGTTACTCTTCAGTACTCTGGAGAGGTCCTTGACAGCAGGTTTCCACAGTGCAATAAACTTTCTTTATGAGACCTTTATCTGAGATGTCACTGACAAATGTTTTTCCCAGTTTTTTTAACTCCTTTAGAAAAAAATTTTCAATGTACACAAGGGCTTAACTTTTAGAAGGCCCTATCTGCTAATTTTTGTCACCTCCTGTGCATTTCTGGTTAAATGTCTTTGAGCTGTGGTACTGGAAAAGAGTACTGAATATACCATGGGTTGCTAGGAGAACAAATAGGTTCATCCTGGAGAGAGTGAAACTAGGCTGCACCTAGGCTGCAAGGTTTCTGAAGCTTCATCTGTCATACTTTGGGCTTTTGCAAGGAATGACCAGTCCTTGGAGAGGGACATCATGCTTTGGAGGGTGGAGGGACAGCACAAGAAAGAAAGACCCTGGACAAGATAGATTGACTCCGTGACTGGGGTAATGAGGATAATTGTGTCAGAGACAATGAATTTGGCTCAAGACAGAGCAGAGCTGTTGTACATAAGGTTGCAACATGAGTTGCAAGCGACTTCATGGTACATCACAACAACTTATACCCTATGTGAGGGCTTCTAAGTTTTATCCAATTTTGTCTCTATTTATAATCTTTATGGTTTGGAGCTTTACTCCTATGTCTCTGATCCACATTGAGTTGATTTTTACATATGGTATGAGCTGTGCATCCTGCCTAAGCTTTCTGCAGGTAGATGTCAAATTTTGGCAGCATCATTTGTTGAAGATGGAACATACTCTTGATGATTTTTTAACTTGTGTCATCTTATCACAAAATAGCAGAACATCTTTTATATCACTAAGTAATCTCACAAGCACTTCAAGTGATGAATAACTCTTACTATATCAGAATTGATTGAATCAAACAATATTCTGGGTTTTGGTCATTTCAGTTTTTGAACAACATTGCTATGCCTACACATATCCATAAATATAATGTACCTTTTTATTATTGTAACACAACTCATTTCCATGGACCCAGAACTAACTCATAACTCACTCTCCAGTGGGTTTATTCTCACATGAGGAGATTGCCCAACTTTCTTCCTCGAACCACATGCCTTTGGGTTGGCAATGCAGCTCCTTATCCACTAGGCACCCGAGTTCCCCTTTAAATACTATAATAGATGTGAATCTCCACCATAAATCAAGAAAACAAAGATTCTCACCACTGGGTGACTGGTAGCATCATGATAGATGGTGACGAGATTGAGATTGTTAAACAGCTTTAGTTTCTTGGCTCCACAATCAACACTCTTGGTATCAGCAGCCAAATAATCAAAAGACGAGTTGCATTGGGAAATACTGCTGTCAGGGACCTCTCCAGAGTACTGAAGAGCAACGATGTCAATCTGGAGACTGAAGTGTGCCTGATCCAGGCCCATGGTCTTCACAATTACTTGCTATACATCAGAAAGCTGGAGAATGAGTAGGGATGATAGAAGGTCCTCCTCAGTTTCAGCAAGCAAGGTTGTGTCATCTGCATAATGTAGGTTGTTGATGAGTCTTCCTCCAAACCTGGTGCCACATTCCTCCTCAGAAAGCCCAGCCTCCTGAATGTTCTGTTCTGCATATAGACTGAAAGAGTATGGAGACAGGACGCATCCCTGATGCACTTCTTTCCTGATTTTGATTCCATTTTGTTTCTTCAAAACCATCTGTTTCTAGAAATTCCTTTCCTTTAAAGGTTTAGGCTTCGGGGAAAATGAAAGTTAAAAACAGCTCTAGACTCCTTTTTCTGACCTGCCATATGCCAATGCTGGGGAAGACAGGGAACACACCCTGCTTATCATTGTTTTATATTTTCAGCTTATCGCTTATCACTGTAATAAGTCAATGGAGGAAAGAGAAGGGAATATAAGGAGGTAAAAGATGAATAAGTAAAAAATTCTCTCAGTAGCAGAGGCACTTTGTCAGGAAGTGCCAATCCTTAGGGAAAAACAACTTGATGCTTAGAAAAGTAGGGAGCCAACGAAAGAGAGGAAGACCCTTAATGAGGTGGATTGATACAGGGACTGTAAATATGGGCTTGAACATAGTGGAGATGCTGATGACAGTGCAAGATAGAATAAGGTTCAGACGTGTTGTTCATAGAGTCACTAGTTGGCTTGATGGCACCTAACAACAGTAATAACACGAGTAAATATGGAAGTGCTGTACTGCTCTTCTGAAGGTAGATTAATACCTTAATGATAACTGGCCTTTAGCAGTAATGCTGTTTCACGTAAGGGCCAGTTGCCCTATTAGTTATAGATAGAAATTAAGCTCTGCCTCTCAAATTATCATGAAAAATGTTAAA